CGAAAACGCGAACACCGCGAAAGCCCCCAAAACCGCCAAAACGCGAAAACCGCGAAAACCACGAAAACCGTGAAAACCGTGAAAACGCGAACACCGCGAAAACGCGAAAACCGCACAAACATCGATTTTCTGGGTTCTTTGGGCTTTCTCGGTCTTCTAGGTTCCCTCTGTTTTCACGGCTTTCTCGGTTTTATCGGTTTTCTCTGTTTTCCAGTTTTCTTGGTTTTCTCGGTTTTCCGGCTTTCTCGCGCAAATCCGGTTAGCTCCGTGTCGCTCAAAACGATTGCTTAGCAAGCTTGGCTGCCATCAGGTTTTCGCCTTCAAGCAAAGGAGGCGACCTACCTTTCTTTAAAGTGAGGTTTGCCCTCATAAACATGACATTTAGGCTGCTCATGCTATCTGAAGTACTCGGGAGTCAGTTAGCGATCGGGAACTCAGCTCTTAAAACGACCAAACTCGCTCTAGGAGAAACGGCCAATCGAGCGAAGCAACGGAGCAACGGAGCGGGGCAACGCAGCGCAGCAACGGAGCAACAGAGCAACGGAGCAACGGAGCAGAACAGCTTTGCGGAATAGCGGGGGAACGGAGCGGAGCAACGGAGCAACGGAGCGGAGCAACGGAGCAACGGAGCGAAACAGCTTTGCGCCACCACGGGGGAACGGAGCAGAGCAACGGAGCAACAGAGCGGAGCAACGGAGCGGAGCAACGGAGCAACGGAGCGAAACAGCTTTGCGGAACAACGGGGGAACGGAGCGGAGCAACGGAGCAACGGAGCGAAACAGCTTTGCGGAACAACGGGGGAACGGAGCGGAGCAACGGAGCAACGGAGCGAAACAGCTTTGCGCCACCACGGGGGAACGGAGCAACGGAGCAACGGAGCAACAGAGCGGAGCAACGGAGCGGAGCAACGGAGCAACGGAGCGAAACAGCTTTGCGCCACCACGGGGGAACGGAGCGGAGCAACGGAGCAACAGAGCGGAGCAACGGAGCGGAGCAACGGAGCAACGGAGCGAAACAGCTTTGCGGCGCAACGGGGGAACGGAGCGGAGCAACGGAGCAACGGAGCGAAACAGCTTTGCGGAACAACGGGGGAACGGAGCGGAGCAACGGAGCATCGGAGCGAAACAGCTTTGCGGAACAACGGGGGAACGGAGCGGAGCAACGGAGCAACGGAGCGAAACAGCTTTGCGGAACAACAGGGGAACGGAGCGGAGCAACGGAGCAACGGAGCGAAGCAGGTTTGCACGACACGCTTTGCCAACGCTCTGGAAAAACGACTGTTCAGAATCCTTTCCAATGTCAGACTGTACAAGCAGGATTTATACAGGACGTCCCAGCCAATGCCTTGCAGCCGAAAGCACAACCTACTGAGCCCAGCACTGAGCATAGGCTTCAGGGTCGCTAAAGCAAAATCGCGAGGACAGCGCGGTGGCAGCGGCGATGGCGTAGCCTCGCAAACGTCACCCCGATCCACCTGCCCAGCCCTTCTTCGTAGCATCCACAGACACCGACAAACAGAGAAACTAAACAACAAGCTGATCCGTCATAAAACGGCAAAACGAGAGGAGAAACATCCAAAGCACGGGAGCCGAGCCCTATCTTCCTCTTGCGCGTAGACAACCCGCGCGGCCGGGGCCCACATCTCATGCCTGATCACGTGGCCCCCCTCGCGACATCTAAGAATTCCGGCCAGGCAGCTCGAGGAGCAGTTGCCCTGGCTGTAGACCTCCCCAGACTCGCAGCCTGGCTTCTGGTCTCTGAGGTCGTAGGCTGGAGGCACGGCGCCCCCCTCCAGGTCGTCCGTCTCGTCCTGGTGTGAAGAGACTGACATGGATCTCTGCCAAATCTCTGCAGATCTCGACAACCATAAAGTCTTTGGAGCATCCCCACAAGCAAACTCTGGTCGGGCCATTTCATGGATATCTGTCAGGCTTGGAAGCCAAGCGCCAGTCGCGGCTTGGAGTTGGGTTGACCTTGGTAAAGTTGCTGCGCTCGCATTGTATTTCCTGTTGCTCAAAGGGTGGGCCTGCGGGGCTTGAAGGCCAAGCTTTATTTGGCTGCCGAACATTCTGGCTGAATAACATGCAAGGAGCAAAGCTTAGCCAAACCTACCATGTGAAGGCCATGGTTTGCCATCTGTGGACCCACCAGGGCACAACTTCCTGGCAGCATGGAAGCAAATGCATGCATGGTCACGTTGTATGCAGATAGTGGGCTATGCATCCAAAGGCCGAATCGACAAGAAACGCTAGCATCGAGCATGGTCGCATTGTGAGGAGTCAAAATGGACACAGACTTCTGGCAAAGAAGAACCTGCATCGGCATATATTTTCTGGTGCCATGCAACAGTAGACACTGAAGTAAAAAGTCCTGAGGCCCTAGTAGCGACGAAAAAGCCAGCAACGAGCAGGGCGGCATGGTGCTATTCACCAGGACACAAGTGTTTGGACCACAAAGGCTGTAGATGATTCGTTGGCCAACAGGAGGGACGCGGAATGAATGGAAGAACTGGGAAGAATTTGGAGAAAACGGCAAAATGGTGGCTTAACGAGTGCACAGGTTGCAAGGAGAACCCCTTGAACGAAGAACCGGCATGGACTTGGCAAAGTTCGTGTTGCCCGACGGCCACCGAGCGGACTGCGACGCATCTGGTCATCCACAGGGCCGAACGTCTGACTCCGTCTCCATGTGTCTGACTATGGAAACGCGGTTTCTCCCCGCAGGCCACCCTGAAACTCAAGCAAGACAACTCGAAGGCGCCTGGCACCGCTGCAGCGCCCCGGCAAAGCCGATCATGCCCTCCCCCCGCACCGCCACGCCGTCGAGGCCATAGCTCACCTCACACTCCCGACGCTTCAAATTGGATGCATGGGTGGGTGGCTGGCGCATGCTTGCGGCTGGCTGCTGGGGTTAGCTATGACGGTTGGCTGGAAAGGCTGCGTAGCCGGCTGGCCAAGCGGCCTTCAAAACATCCGAAAATCTTAAGATGCCTGGTCGCCATCTTCGGATTCTGGGGCGGGCGGGCGCGCGGGCAGGCTTAAGGCGGCATTGCGGTAGGGTGGCTTTAAGGGTTGATAGGGCGCGTTGGGGTTGGTTTAGGGTGTTTAGGCTGGCTCAAAAGTGGGCTTCGGGTAGGGGTTGGTTGAGGGTAGGTTCAGAGTGGGTTGACGAGTGGGTTAAGGCCGGGTGTAGGTTGCGTTTGGGTTGGGGTGGGTTTGAGGTTGGCTTATGGTGGTTGGGGTAGATGGACAATCTGGATGTTGCGGCTTTGTTTGCAAATATTTGGCCGGTGCGCCTGTAGCAATTAATCGCCTTTGGCTGAGCCACAGTCAGTCCAGCAGTGGGGAGCCTTCACCTTTGCCTTCATGGAGCATGCAAAGCCGCCTGGGCTGAGGGCATGTGGAGGGTTTCATTGGGCCTCCACGTGCACTTTTTGCGGGCCCCCCAGGCGCATGCTGCCTCTCCGTTTGTGGGTGCCGGTCGCAGGCCCTGTCAGGTGCAGCGTTTCGATGTCTTCGGAGGGCTCGGAGAAAAGGGATCACGCCTGGGGCATTGCGGCATTGCGGCATTCCCCTTCCCCGGTCCACTGGAAAGTCGCGAGCTGGAGGTGACTTCCCACAGGGCTTCCCTGGAGGACCCTCACCATAGAGTTGCATTTGGCCCGTCCCGTGCTACGCATGAGCTGTTACTCATCTGCTACTGGGTAGTAGTTATTCTGGTTATTCTGGATAATATTATGAACAGCCTGTTAAAGCGCATGTTTATGGAAGTTATGGATTTTATTGATACTATGGATGTTTTGAATCATTCATATTGTGCATATGACGAATATTATAATTATGATGGATACTATGGATATGATGGATATGTCGTCATGATATCACTGCGTAGAAACATACAAGTGCACCGCTCGATCACTGGGCATCTCGCGTCGGCATACGTCCAGCCGTTGAAGAAGCTGCCCGCTGCCTTCGGCACTCACATTGATTGAGCAGTCCTCTTTGTTTCCACCGGAAGAAAACACCCCCATGTCAGACTCTACGTCACCACGAAACAGTGAACAAATATCAAGAAGCCTAGCAATCAAGGAACGGGTTTCTGCACTGGCTGGCGAATCCATTCTCCTGCAAGTCACATAAATTCAACGTTCTTTGTGCGTACTCGTCGGGAAGGGGCAAGCACCTGAGGCATTCTGATTGCTGCTTTGCTCTTGTCCACGAAATGCTCCTCAAGTATTGCAACGGAGTGGAGTTGTTCTGCTGAGGCTGAGTCGGCATGTTTTGGCATAACGATGCCTTCGCCGCAAATTATTGAATCAATCAGGCCACCCACTTGCTTACACAAGTAGAAACTGCTAGCTAAAGCTAGCTTTCGTGATAAGTCCTTAGTTCACCCTTCGTCCTGACCGGAAGGCAAACCCAGGATTGGCGGCGCTTCTCTCGCCGCGGCGCCGCGGTGAAGTTCCCCGCGGCGTAGGAGGTCACGTCGCTGAGGAAGTAGCGGTCGTTGACCTGGGCCGTGGCCTTGGAGCGGTACTCCCGGCTCTTCTTCTTCCCTGACCGAACACGGAAGCCAGGTCGGAAGGCACAAGCCACACGTCCTAGAACTTCACTTCGGGAGGTCAAAATTTGCCGAAAATCATCGAATTGATTCTTTGACCAGCAGAGACGTACGCAAAACTGGTGGCTGGCTTGGCAAGAAATGTGTGTCGTTGTCCCAAGTTTCAACAACAGGGTACCCTAACGCGCCTGCCGCTTGGCCGTCAGTGGCTGCTAACCACACCGCAACGATGGTGACCAAAACGCCCGCGCCGTAGACAAAATACTTCCTGATTCGCATGGAGACACCGTGGCTTGCCTGCTTGCCTTTAGACTCCCGAATGATTGGCACCCTATCCATGCACCAAGATTTTGCAAGCAACCCTTCGTGCAGCAAGTAGCACAGCAACTAGACCAGGCAGCTTGCCCTTTGATGATGCGCCAATCTCGATTTGATTGCTTTTAGAAAAACCCACAAGCGCCACGGAATGGTCGTGAAGTTGGGACAATTGATTGAAAGTTGCGTAAAAGATTCTCAAAATGTTTGACATATCCTCAAAAGTGCTTGATTCGTGCTCGAAATGTCTGGAGTTGGATTGAATATGGTTTGGTGCAAAGATTTCAGAGACAGTTCCCAAAGAGTTCCAAACAATATGTGTATCGTGGCAGAAACAACCTTAGGGTAGAGAAAACAAGGGTTGGCGTGGAGAAAACGATTCCCAAACATGTGCCAACAATTCCAAACTTGTATGAAACAACTCCCGACCATTTCCAAACATGTGTCAAACATGTGTGAAATAACTCGCTAACAATTCCAAACAATCAAACATGTCCAAACAAATGTCAATTTCCCCATGTACTAAACTTGTTAAAGCGATCCGGTCACCTGGGGTTTTAAAAACAACCAAAGCTCGATCAACTGCAGTCAAGACCAACGAAACACCTGCCCAACACTGTGCACCAACCAAGCTCAAACTCAAGGCCAAATGAATCCCCCCATTCAATGCCCAAGGTTCTTAACTTCTCTTGTGCTCTTCTTGTTGCCGCCTTTGGCGCGCCGGGCCATCGCCGCCGCCGCGGCATCCGCCGGGTTCTTCGTCATCCTCAGCCCCAAGGCCGGCGGTGCACGTGGCACGCGTGCCCGCGGTGCGCGCAGGAAGGGCTGAGGCCCGGACGTCCCGGTGCTCGCCAGCGGGGGGGGCGGGGGCCCACTGGAGCTGATGGCCAAAGTTGCGGAGCTGTGTTGGGAGCCAGGTTTGCTGGAAGAAACAACGTATCAACTAACTCGTGGCACAAAACCGGGGTGTTTCGCGATGGCAACACCTGGTGGAGGAGAACATCCGACTTTCTCCTTCCCTCTTTTGCCCAAGCCTGCCTGGCACAATGCAAGTCTCCATGCAATGCCCCGGCTCAGTTATTTCGGCGCTGATTCATTCTTGTGGAGCACATCTGCTGCCACATAAGCGATCCAAGACCCAAGGCACAGTTGAAGACGTTGACTTCTTGGCTCTGGGTGAATCATTAAAGGCTTTTAAGATGTCCGCCCGGTTAAAAGTTCGGGCAGATCTGCCACCACTTTTGTGTGGCCCTGCAGGCAGCCCTGCCTGTGCACAGGGAAAGTGCCTGCAAGATACAAAATTGCCACTTCCGTCCGCATGTGTGCAGACTCTCAGCAGCAAAAATTCGAAAGCCCATGCCAGCTACAGACAAGTACTGGTTCCTGGCATGGAAATGACTAAATGCCGACAGGCATTGCAAATGAATAAACTGCACAAGTCAAAGCTACTGCGCGGGGGCAGGCGAACACGCCGTGGCGCGCACTCGTGGCTCACCAGGGGCCGAAGGCAGGCTGCAGTGGCTTGGCCGCCTGGTGGATGGCTGCAGCGCCTTCCTCACCCCGCAGCCCAGGGCCGCCGCTGCGCCGGTCGCCAGCCGCGCCAATGGCACCCGGAAGGGCGAGCAGCTCAGCGAGTCCAGGCCCACCTGAACCACCACACAAGGCATGGTGCATTGGGTCACATGAGTCATGTCGCTCTTGAGGTTTGGGGGAAGGAGGATTAGGGACGCGCTGTTGCAGAACTCGATGGAGGCCGGGTCGGCCGCCGTGCTCGCCGCAGATGCCCATCTTCATGCCGTCCAAGTGTGCGGTCAGCGTCCTCCACGGCCACCTTGATCAGCTCGCCGACGCCCTCCTGGTCGAGACTCACGAAGGGGTCCTGCTCCACGATACCCTTGGCCTTGTACTCAGGTAGAAAGGCGCCTGCGTCGTCCCGGCTCATGCCGTAGGTGGTCTGCGTCAAGTCGTTGGTGCCGAAACTGAAGAACTCAGCCTGCTCGGCCAACTTGCCTGCTTGCAAGCAGGCCCGGGGCAGCTCGATCATGGTGCCCACACGGTAGGTGAAGTTCATGCCTTGCTCCTTCTGCACGGCTGCGGCAGTCTTCTCCACCACCTCCTTCAAAATGCTCAGCTCCTGCAGGGTCGCCACCAGCGGCACCATGACCTCAGCCACCGGCACGGCGCCGCCGGCCCTGCCCACGGCGGCTGCCGCCTCGAAGATGGCCCGCGCCTGCATCTCGCAGATCTCGGGGTAGGTGATGGCCAGGCGGCAGCCCCGGTGGCCCAACATGGGATTCGCCTCTTGCAGCTCCGTGGCGCGGCGCCGCACCCGGTTCAGCGGCACCGCCGGCGGCCTTGGCCACCTGCGCCATCTCGGCCTCAGTGTGGGGGATGAACTCGTGCAGCGGCGGGTCCAGCAGCCGCACCGTCACCGGGCGCCCGTCCATGATCGGAACAGCTCCAGTGATGTCCTCGCGCTGCATGGTCAACAGCTCCTCCAGTGCAACCTTCCGGTCCGCCTCGTGCCGCCAAGATCATTCTTCTCACTTGCGATGATGCGCCCGCCGTCGAAAAACATGTGCTCCGTCTCATGCCGTGCCAGGCCGATGCCCTGTGCCCGAACTCCTTGGCTGACGGGCGTCATTGGGCGTCTCTGCGTCCATCGTACCTGCAGCGTCACGGTACTCATCCCGCCCAGGCCATGATGATACCAAAGGCACCGGGCAGCTGCGGCGGCACCGTGGGCACCTCCCCAAGGATCACCTCTCCGGTGACGCCATCGATGGTGAGGATCTGGCCCTCCTGCACGTCCAAGGACCCCCCACACTAGGCAGGCCGCGCCAGATCCACCTGCACGGCACCGCCGAAGCCACGCAGGGCCGGCCTGCCTCGGGCCACCACGCCGCGTGCTGGTCATGCCGCCCCGCGTGGTCAGGACACCCTCTGCCGCGTGCCCAGGCCGTGGATGTCGTCTGGGCTGGTCTCAATCCGCACCAGCAGCACCTTCTCACCGTCCTTGGCCCGGCGGACCGCCTGGGCAAAAGGTATCAATCGGTATCAACAAGCGTCCCCTACATCTCAAACACCTGCCTCGTCTGCGCTGAAGACCACCTTCCCTGCCGCTGCACCGGGGGAAGCTGGGAGGCCCTGAGCAGCGCATCAAAGCAATATTCAAGGCGATATGAACAGGGATTCAAGAGCGACTCAAAAACACATCAGCACATTGAAAGACATTGGCCTCCAAACGCAAAGAAAGTCAGCAAACTCCGTCAGTTCGACGCCTTGGCGATGACCTGCTTCTTGGCCTTTGGGTCCAAAGTGGGGTGCAGCAGCTGGTCGATGAGCTCGGGCTTCAAGCGCATCAAAGCCTGCGACTTGGAGATGAGACCTGCGCACAGCAAGCATTCTGCTCTGGCTAATGCAATGTCAGTACCTTGAGCCGGATTACCCGTTTTCCAGCCACGGCCAACATTAGTCAGCCCTCCCATGTTGCTCTCAAATTGGCTATACACGGACGGAAACATTGATCGAACCTCGCAACACCTTGTAAGAGTCGTTTCTGTGAGTACCTTTCTCGTCTTCGTCCCCGTGTCTTTGCAGCAACAAATTGTAGTAATAGGAACAAAACGTCAAGCAAGACTCTCATACCCCCAACCCAAAATTCGATGCCATTCATACACCTGCATGCACCACAACATGTCATTTCACCTGTTGGTCAACCTAACATCCTCTATTCTTGGGTTGGTCATCACAGGTTTTGCTTAGCCCATGCATGAATCTCGTTGCCTTCGTTCGCCATGTCCACAGCTATTTGCAGCGCTGCGTGTGCTGTCCTCTTGCCGGTGCGCGTCTGCAGCATGTAGAGCTTGTTCTGCTGGATGGTGAATTCAATGTCCTGCTCTGGCTATGAATCGCCACAAGTGGCCAATCAAACAAGATCCTCAAAACCAATCGACCGCCAAAAGAACCCACAGAGCCTGTGAGCCAAACACTAGCTGTCTGTCGTTGGTGTCAGTTTGTCATCAAGGGCTATCACCTTTTTCAGCCTCTCATGCTAGTTCGTCCCCTCGTCCTGCATGTCTTTGTAGTGCGTCTCCAGTTGCTGGCGCATGGTGCAAAGCTCGCGGAAGATGTTGGGCATGACTTCTTCCAGGCTTGGCAAATCGGACCCATGAGACTTGCGGGCCTTGATGGTCAGCTCCTGTGGGGTCCGGATGCCAGCCACCACGTCTTCGCCCTGGGCATTCACAAGGAACTCGCCGTAGAAGTCGTTGGCGCCGTTGGAGGGGTTCCGGGTAAAGGCGACGCCGGTGGCGCAGTCGCTGCCCATATTCCCGAAGACCATGGCCTGCACATTCACCGCAGTGCCCCAACTCTCCGGGATGTCGTGCAGCTGCCGGTAGGTCTTGGCACGTTGGTTCATCCAGGAGTTGAAAACAGCACCGACGGCGCCCCAGAGCTGCTCGTGAGGGTCCTCGGGGAAGTCCATGCCTATCTCCACATGCACACGGGCCTTGTAGTCCATCACCAGCTTCTCCAAATCCTCTGCCACCAGCTCGTGGTCCTGCTTCACGCCCCGCCGCTGCTTCGCGCGCTCCAGGAGCTTCTCGAAGTGGCTGAGCTCAATGCCCAGCACCACATCCGAGTACATCTGCACGAAGCGCCGGTAGCTGTCGTAGGCAAAGCGCCGGTCCCCAGACCGCTTGGCCAAGGCCGCCACCGTCCAGTCGTTGAGACCCAGGTTCAGCACCGTGTCCATCATGCCTGGCATGGACGCTCGAGCGCCCGAGCGCACCGACAACAGCAGGGGATTGGTCGCATCTCCGAACTTCTGGCCCGAGCGCTCCTCCACCAGCGCCAGGGCTTTCGCCACCTGGCCCTTCAACTCCGTCGGGTACGTGCACTTGTCCTCGTAGAAGCGGGTGCACACCTCCGTGGTCAAGGTGAAGCCAGGCGGCACCGGGAGGCCAATGCTCGCCATCTCCGCCAAGTTCGCGCCCTTGCCGCCCAGCAGGTTCTTCATCTCTGCACGGCCATCTGCCGCACCGGCACCGAAGTTGTAGACCCACTGCACCATGGCAACGATGCAAAGGGACGAACTTGGGAGTCGAGTCACAATGTCAGTTTTGAGCTACAAAAGGCTGCAGCCCCGAAATCTGTTGAAAGCGAATCCTGGCATTATGCGCAAGAACGCCATCCATTTCCAAAAATGCATCTGGTTTCAGTGCAAAAACACTGTCGTAGGAGTCGCCAGCACGGCAGCACGTCAAAGACCGGCACTCGACTTCTATCCATCTGCTGCATCGCTGGAGACTAAATGGCCAACATCTGTGGGTGTCCTAAACTTGGAGCACCCTCGGACATGGTTGGCTTTCCTTTGGTCTCTCTTTGAACTCCATCTTAAAGGGCATCCCCAGTGGCAATGCCCCAACATTGCGGCAATGGCTGCCGTGGCTGCCGTGGCTCAGTTATTTCGGCGCTGATTCGTTCTTGTGGAGCACATCTGCTGCCACATAAGCGATCCAAGACCCAAGGCACAGTTGAAGACGTTGACTTCTTGGCTCTGGGTGAATCATTAAAGGCTTTTAAGATGTCCGCCCGGTTAAAAGTTCGGGCAGATCTGCTACCACTTTTGTGTGGCCCCCTGCAGGCAGCTCCTGCCTGTGCACAGGAAGTGCCTGCAAGATACAAAATTGCCACTTCCGTCCGCATGTGTGCAGACTCTCAGCAGCAAAAATTCGAAAGCCCATGCCAGCTACAGACAAGTACTGGTTCCTGGCATGGAAATGACTAAATGCCGACAGGCATTGCAAATGAATAAACGCACAAGCCCTGCCTCGCATTGCGCAAAGGCAGGCGAACACGCCGTGGCGCGCACTCGTGGCTCACCAGGGACCGAAGGCAGGCTGCAGTGGCTTGGCCGCCTTGGTGGATGGCTGCAGCGCCTTCTCACCCCGCAGCTTCAGGGCCGCTTGCGCTGCCGCCAGCCGCGCCACTGGCACCCGGAAGGGCGAGCAGCTCACGTAGTCCAGGCCCACCTGAACCACCACACAAGGCATGGTGCATTGGGTCACATGAGTCATGTCGCTCTTGAGGTTTGGGGGAAGGAGGTTAGGAACGCGCCTTGTTGCAGAACTCGATGGAGGCCGGGTCGCCGCCGTGCTCGCCGCAGATGCCCATCTTCATGCCGTCCCGGGCGGTGCGGCCGCGCTCCACGGCCACCTTGATCAGCTCGCCGACGCCCTCCTGGTCCAGGCTGACGAAGGGGTCCTGCTCCACGATACCCTTGGCCTTGTACTCGGGCAGAAAGGCGCCTGCGTCGTCCCGGCTCAGGCCATAGGTGGTCTGTGTCAAGTCGTTGGTGCCGAAACTGAAGAACTCAGCCTGCTCGGCCAACTTGCCTGCTTGCAAGCAGGCCCGGGGCAGCTCGATCATGGTGCCCACACGGTAAGTGAAGTTCATGCCTTGCTCCTTCTGCACGGCTGCGGCAGTCTTCTCCACCACCTCCTTCAAAATGCTCAGCTCCTGCAGGGTCGCCACCAGCGGCACCACATCTCAGCTACCGGCACTGCCGTCGCCAGGGCTGCTTCAGCTTCTGCGCCACAGCCTTAAGATGGCCCGCGCCTGCATCTCGTGAGATCTGGGCAGGGTGACACGAAGGCAGCTCCCCGTGGCCCGCCCATGGATTCGCCTCTGCAGCTCTGCTGCGCGGCGTCGCACTGGACCAAGAGCGACGCGGTGGCTTCGAAGCACCAAGCGCCATCTCGGCACCTTTCGTGTGGGGGATGAACCTCGCAGCGGCGGTCCAGCAAACGCACCGGCCATCGGGCGCCCGCCCATGATCCGGAACAGCTCCGTGATGTCCTCGCGCTGCATACACGCAACAGCCCTCCCAGTGCAACCTTCCGGTCCGCCCTGCCTGCCGCCAAGATCACTCCTTCCCACGCGCTGATACGCCCTCCCGCCGTCGAAAAACATGTGCTCCGTGCGTACCAGGCCGATGCCCTGTGCCCCGAACTCCTTGGCCTGACGGGCGTCATTGGGCGTCTCTGCATTCGCCCGTACCTGCAGCGTGCGGTACTCATCCGCCCAGGCCATGATGATGCCAAAGGCACCCGACAGCTGCGGCGGCACCGTGGGCACCTCCCCAAGGATCACCTCTCCGGTGACGCCATCGATGGTGAGGATCTGGCCCTCCTGCACGGTCACGGACCCCACACTGAGCCGGGCCGCCGCATAGTCCACCTGCACGGCACCCGCCCCGGCCACGCAGGGCCGGCCCATGCCTCGGGCCACCACCGCCGCGTGGCTGGTCATGCCGCCCCGCGTGGTCAGGACACCCTCTGCCGCGTGCAGGCCGTGGATGTCGTCTGGGCTGGTCTCAATCCGCACCAGCAGCACCTTCTCACCGTCCTTGGCCCGGCGGACCGCCTGGGCAAAAGGTATCAATCGGTATCAACAAGCCGTCCCCTACATCTCAAACACCTGCCTCGTCTGCGCTGAAGACCACCTTCCCTGCCGCTGCACCGGGGGAAGCTGGGAGGCCCTGAGCAGCGCATCAAAGCAATATTCAAGGCGATATGAACAGGGATTCAAGAGCGACTCAAAAACACATCAGCACATTGAAAGACATTGGCCTCCAAACGCAAAGAAAGTCAGCAAACTCCGTCAGTTCGACGCCTTGGCGATGACCTGCTTCTTGGCCTTTGGGTCCAAAGTGGGGTGCAGCAGCTGGTCGATGAGCTCGGGCTTCAAGCGCATCAAAGCCTGCGACTTGGAGATGAGACCTGCGCACAGCAAGCATTCTGCTCTGGCTAATGCAATGTCAGTACCTTGAGCCGGATTACCCGTTTTCCAGCCACGGCCAACATTAGTCAGCCCTCCCATGTTGCTCTCAAATTGGCTATACACGGACGGAAACATTGATCGAACCTCGCAACACCTTGTAAGAGTCGTTTCTGTGAGTACCTTTCTCGTCTTCGTCCCCGTGTCTTTGCAGCAACAAATTGTAGTAATAGGAACAAAACGTCAAGCAAGACTCTCATACCCCCAACCCAAAATGTTGATGCCATTCATACACCTGCATGCACCAAAACATGTCATCTCACCTGTTGGTCAACCTAACATCCTCTATTCTTGGGTTGGTCATCACAGGTTTTGCTTAACCCATGCATGAATCTCGTTGCCTTCGTTCGCCATGTCCACAGCTATTTGCAGCGCTGCGTGTGCTGTCCGCTTGCCGGTGCGCGTCTGCAGCATGTAGAGCTTGTTCTGCTGGATGGTGAATTCAATGTCCTGCTCTGGCTATGAATCGCCACAAGTGGCCAATCAAACAAGATCCTCAAAACCAATCGACCGCCCCAAAAGAACCCACAGAACCTGTGAGCCAAACACTAGCTGTCTGTCGTTGGTGTCAGTTTGTCATCAAGGGCTATCACCTTTTTCAGCCTCTCATGCTAGTTCGTCCCCTCGTCCTGCATGTCTTTGTAGTGCGTCTCCAGTTGCTGGCGCACGGTGCAAAGCTCGCGGAAGATGTTGGGCATGACTTCTTCCAGGCTTGGCAAATCGGACCCATGAGACTTGCGGGCCTTGATGGTCAGCTCCTGTGGGGTCCGGATGCCAGCCAACGAGAGAGACAAAAGGAGCATCTGGCCAAGGAACTCGTGAGCGAAGTCGTTGGCGCCCGGCTGGGAGGGGTTCCGGTAAAGGCGACGCCGGCAGGCGCAGTCGCGCCCATATTCCCCAAGACCGCGGCCTGCACATTCACCGCAGTGCCCCAATCTCCGGGACAACTGCAGCCGCCGAGGTCTTGGCACGCTGGTTCATCCAGAGTTGAAACAAAGACCAGACAAAGCCTCAGAGCTGCTCGTGAGGGTCCTCGGGGAAGTCCATGCCTATCTCCACATGCACACGGGCCTTGTAGTCCATCACCAGCTTCTCCAAATCCTCTGCCACCAGCTCGTGGTCCTGCTTCACGCCCCGCCGCTGCTTCGCGCGCTCCAGGAGCTTCTCGAAGTGGCTGAGCTCAATGCCCAGCACCACATCCGAGTACATCTGCACGAAGCGCCGGTAGCTGTCGTAGGCAAAGCGCCGGTCCCCAGACCGCTTGGCCAAGGCCGCCACCGTCCGGTCGTTGAGACCCAGGTTCAGCACCGTGTCCATCATGCCTGGCATGGACGCTCGAGCGCCCGAGCGCACCGACAACAGCAGGGGATTGGTCGCATCTCCGAACTTCTGGCCCGAGCGCTCCTCCACCAGCGCCAGGGCTTTCGCCACCTGGCCCTTCAACTCCGTCGGGTACGTGCACTTGTCCTCGTAGAAGCGGGTGCACACCTCCGTGGTCAAGGTGAAGCCAGGCGGCACCGGGAGGCCGATACTCGCCATCTCCGCCAAGTTCGCGCCCTTGCCGCCCAGCAGGTTCTTCATCTCTGCACGGCCATCTGCCGCACCGGCACCGAAGTTGTAGACCCACTGCACCATGACAACGATGCAAAGGGACGAACTTGGGAGTCGAGTCACAATGTCAGTTTCGAGCTACAAAAGGCTGCAGCCCCGAAATCTGTTGAAAGCGAATCCTGGCATGATGCGCAAGAACGCCATCCATTTCCAAAAATGCATCTGGTTTCAGTGCAAAAACACTGTCGTAGGAGTCGCCAGCACTGCAGAATTCAAAGACTGGCGCTCGACTTCTATCCATCTGCTGCATCGCTGGAAACTAAATGGCCAACATCTGTGGGTGTCCTAAACTTGGAGCACCCTCGGACATGGTTGGCTTTCCTTTGGTCTCTCTTTGAACTCCATCTTAAAGGGCATCCCCAGTGGCAATGCCCCAACATTGCGGCAATGGCTGCCGTGGCTGCCGTGGCTCAGTTATTTCGGCGCTGATTCGTTCTTGTGGAGCACATCTGCTGCCACATAAGCGATCCAAGACCCAAGGCACAGTTGAAGACGTTGACTTCTTGGCTCTGGGTGAATCATTAAAGGCTTTTAAGATGTCCGCCCGGTTAAAAGTTCGGGCAGATCTGCCACCACTTTTGTGTGGCCCTGCAGGCAGCCCTGCCTGTGCACAGGGCAAGTGCCTGCAAGATACAAAATTGCCACTTCCGTCCGCATGTGTGCAGACTCTCAGCAGCAAAAATTCGAAAGCCCATGCCAGCTACAGACAAGTACTGGTTCCTGGCATGGAAATGACTAAATGCCGACAGGCATTGCAAATGAATAAACTGCACAAGCCCTGCCTCGCATTGCGCAAAGGCAGGCGAACACGCCGTGGCGCGCACTCGTGGCTCACCAGGGGCCGAAGGCAGGCTGCAGTGGCTTGGCCGCCTTGGTGGATGGCTGCAGCGCCTTCTCGCCCCGCAGCTTCAGGGCCGCTTGCGCTGCCGCCAGCCGCGCCACTGGCACCCGGAAGGGCGAGCAGCTCACGTAGTCCAGGCCCACCTGAACCACCACACAAGGCATGGTGCATTGGGTCACATGAGTCATGTCGCTCTTGAGGTTTGGGGGAAGGAGGTTAGGGACGCGCCTTGTTGCAGAACTCGATGGAGGCCGGGTCGCCGCCGTGCTCGCCGCAGATGCCCATCTTCATGCCGTCCCGGGCGGTGCGGCCGCGCTCCACGGCCACCTTGATCAGCTCGCCGACGCCCTCCTGGTCCAGGCTGACGAAGGGGTCCTGCTCCACGATACCCTTGGCCTTGTACTCGGGCAGAAAGGCGCCTGCGTCGTCCCGGCTCAGGCCGTAGGTGGTCTGTGTCAAGTCGTTGGTGCCGAAACTGAAGAACTCAGCCTGCTCGGCCAACTTGCCTGCTTGCAAGCAGGCCCGGGGCAGCTCGATCATGGTGCCCACACGGTAAGTGAAGTTCATGCCTTGCTCCTTCTGCACGGCTGCGGCAGTCTTCTCCACCACCTCCTTCAAAATGCTCAGCTCCTGCAGGGTCGCCACCAGCGGCACCATGACCTCAGCCACCGGCACGGCGCCGCCAGCCTTGCCCACGGCGGCCGCAGCCTCGAAGATGGCCCGCGCCTGCATCTCGCAGATCTCGGGGTAGGTGATGGCCAGGCGGCAGCCCCGGTGGCCCAACATGGGATTCGCCTCTTGCAGCTCCGCGGCGCGGCGCCGCACCCGGTTCAGCGGCACGCCGGCGGCCTTGGCCACCTGCGCCATCTCGGCCTCAGTGTGGGGGATGAACTCGTGCAGCGGCGGGTCCAGCAGCCGCACCGTCACCGGGCGCCCGTCCATGATCCGGAACAGCTCCGTGATGTCCTCGCGCTGCATGGTCAACAGCTCCTCCAGTGCAACCTTCCGGTCCGCCTCGTCTGCCGCCAAGATCATTCTTCTCATCGCGATGATACGCCCGCCGTCGAAAAACATGTGCTCCGTGCGTACCAGGCCGATGCCCTGTGCCCCGAACTCCTTGGCCTGACGGGCGTCATTGGGCGTCTCTGCATTCGCCCGTACCTGCAGCGTGCGGTACTCATCCGCCCAGGCCATGATGATGCCAAAGGCACCCGACAGCTGCGGCGGCACCGTGGGCACCTCCCCAAGGATCACCTCTCCGGTGACGCCATCGATGGTGAGGATCTGGCCCTCCTGCACGGTCACGGACCCCACACTGAGCCGGGCTGCCGCATAGTCCACCTGCACGGCACCCGCCCCGGCCACGCAGGGCCGGCCCATGCCTCGGGCCACCACCGCCGCGTGGCTGGTCATGCCGCCCCGCGTGGTCAGGACACCCTCTGCCGCGTGCAGGCCGTGGATGTCGTCTGGGCTGGTCTCAATCCGCACCAGCAGCACCTTCTCACCGTCCTTGGCCCGGCGGACCGCCTGGGCAAAAGGTATCAATCGGTATCAACAAGCCGTCCCCTACATCTCAAACACCTGCCTCGTCTGCGCTGAAGACCACCTTCCCTGCCGCTGCACCGGGGGAAGCTGGGAGGCCCTGAGCAGCGCATCAAAGCAATATTCAAGGCGATATGAACAGGGATTCAAGAGCGACTCAAAAACACATCAGCACATTGAAAGACATTGGCCTCCAAACGCAAAGAAAGTCAGCAAACTCCGTCAGTTCGACGCCTTGGCGATGACCTGCTTCTTGGCCTTTGGGTCCAAAGTGGGGTGCAGCAGCTGGTCGATGAGCTCGGGCTTCAAGCGCATCAAAGCCTGCGACTTGGAGATGAGACCTGCGCACAGCAAGCATTCTGCTCTGGCTAATGCAATGTCAGTACCTTGAGCCGGATTACCCGTTTTCCAGCCACGGCCAACATTAGTCAGCCCTCCCATGTTGCTCTCAAATTGGCTATACACGGACGGAAACATTGATCGAACCTCGCAACACCTTGTAAGAGTCGTTTCTGTGAGTACCTTTCTCGTCTTCGTCCCCGTGTCTTTGCAGCAACAAATTGTAGTAATAGGAACAAAACGTCAAGCAAGACTCTCATACCCCCAACCCAAAATTCGATGCCATTCATACACCTGCATGCACCACAACATGTCATTTCACCTGTTGGTCAACCTAACATCCTCTATTCTTGGGTTGGTCATCACAGGTTTTGCTTAGCCCATGCATGAATCTCGTTGCCTTCGTTCGCCATGTCCACAGCTATTTGCAGCGCTGCGTGTGCTGTCCGCTTGCCGGTGCGCGTCTGCAGCATGTAGAGCTTGTTCTGCTGGATGGTGAATTCAATGTCCTGCTCTGGCTATGAATCGCCACAAGTGGCCAATCAAACAAGATCCTCAAAACCAATCGACCGCCAAAAGAACCCACAGAGCCTGTGAGCCAAACACTAGCTGTCTGTCGTTGGTGTCAGTTTGTCATCAAGGGCTATCACCTTTTTCAGCCTCTCATGCTAGTTCGTCCCCTCGTCCTGCATGTCTTTGTAGTGCGTCTCCAGTTGCTGGCGCATGGTGCAAAGCTCGCGGAAGATGTTGGGCATGACTTCTTCCAGGCTTGGCAAATCGGACCCATGAGACTTGCGGGCCTTGATGGTCAGCTCCTGTGGGGTCCGGATGCCAGCCACCACGTCTTCGCCCTGGGCATTCACAAGGAACTCGCCGTAGAAGTCGTTGGCGCCGTTGGAGGGGTTCCGGGTAAAGGCGACGCCGGTGGCGCAGTCGCTGCCCATATTCCCGAAGACCATGGCCTGCACATTCACCGCAGTGCCCCAACTCTCCGGGATGTCGTGCAGCTGCCGGTAGGTCTTGGCACGTTGGTTCATCCAGGAGTTGAAAACAGCACCGACGGCGCCCCAGAGCTGCTCGTGAGGGTCCTCGGGGAAGTCCATGCCTATCTCCACATGCACACGGGCCTTGTAGTCCATCACCAGCTTCTCCAAATCCTCTGCCACCAGCTCGTGGTCCTGCTTCACGCCCCGCCGCTGCTTCGCGCGCTCCAGGAGCTTCTCGAAGTGGCTGAGCTCAATGCCCAGCACCACATCCGAGTACATCTGCACGAAGCGCCGGTAGCTGTCGTAGGCAAAGCGCCGGTCCCCAGACCGCTTGGCCAAGGCCGCCACCGTCCAGTCGTTGAGACCCAGGTTCAGCACCGTGTCCATCATGCCTGGCATGGACGCTCGAGCGCCCGAGCGCACCGACAACAGCAGGGGATTGGTCGCATCTCCGAACTTCTGGCCCGAGCGCTCCTCCACCCGCGCCAGGGCTTTCGCCACCTGGCCCTTCAACTCCGTCGGGTACGTGCACTTGTCCTCGTAGAAGCGGGTGCACACCTCCGTGGTCAAGGTGAAGCCAGGCGGCACCGGGAGGCCGATACTCGCCATCTCCGCCAAGTTCGCGCCCTTGCCGCCCAGCAGGTTCTTCATCTCTGCACGGCCATCTGCCGCACCGGCACCGAAGTTGTAGACCCACTGCACCATGGCAACGATGCAAAGGGACGAACTTGGGAGTCGAGTCACAATGTCAGTTTCGAGCTACAAAAGGCTGCAGCCCCGACATCTGTTGAAAGCGAATCCTGGCATTATGCGCAAGAACGCCATCCATTTCCAAAAATGCATCTGGTTTCAGTGCAAAAACACTGTCGTAGGAGTCGCCAGCACTGCAGAATTCAAAAACTGGCGCTCGACTTCTATCCATCTGCTGCATCGCTGGAAACTAAATGGCCAACATCTGTGGGTGTCCTAAACTTGGAGCACCCTCGGACATGGTTGGCTTTCCTTTGGTCTCTCTTTGAACTCCATCTTAAAGGGCATCCCCAGTGGCAATGCCCCAACATTGCGGCAATGGCTGCCGTGGCTGCCGTGGCTCAGGTATTTCGGCGCTGATTCGTTCTTGTGGAGCACATCTGCTGCCACATAAGCGATCTGACAGAATGGCAATACACGGTAACAAAGCGGCAATATGTGGAGCTAATAGATGCTAATATACATTGCTGACACAATGACAAAACAACGTGGTGATATACTCTTGAATATCAAATTGCCTAATATTGTGTTCTCAACTTCAAAACCTTGAATACTAGGATTGCAACACTGAGCCACACGCGTCGGTTTTTTTTTCCGGGCACAGCCTCGAGCGTATCCGGTGCAGCTAAGAAGCGGTGAACAAGCGAGCATCTGCACGCGTGAGCCGGAACGCAAGACCCAACTAAAAGCAAGGCAGGTCACTAGCGTTGCTTGAGAGCCCAGGCGGAACCTAGGGCAAGACCAACCAGGGCCCAAGCAAACAAACTCGGCGCACACACGGCATCCATCAACTCCCATATTTGTTTTTGAGTGCGATGCGGTACAGAGAAATCGCTGTGTTAGAATCTTGATCACTGCTTCAATCCGAAAGGGAACATGCAGTCCAAGACAAAAGGGGGCGACCGACAAACATGTGCGCACGCCCCTTTTTCTTTATAAGGAGTTGCTTGGAAGTTGAGGCTCAGAGGTGCAGGGGGAAAGACATCGCGTGTCCTTTCCCCGTATCTGCAACCCTCTGCGGAGCCTCCTCATATGCCCCCGTGGTCAACAATGCGTGTTCGACCAGGCGCCAGGTGTGTTACCTGTGAGGCGTGAAACAATCGAAGGCATTGATGGCGGTCGGATGCAATGCGTGCATCCGACTGGCGTGCAATGCGTCACGCGGTGCCAGGTTGAGACAAGTCGAAACAGTCATATGGCGGCCGGATGCAATGCGTGCATCCGGCTAATGTGCAATGGGTACCAGGCTGAGTCCTGGCAGCATCTACTCCGGTGCTTATTGCATGCTGTCGCTGGCGCGAGATGCGTTTTACGGTGATGAACCAAATTTTGTGACTTTTGCAGAAATGTCATGGTGCGCACCGTACCTCTGGGGCCCCAGCTGGGCTGGGCCCAGGCAGGTTCGCCTGAGTGTTGACAGGGTGGGTGGGTGGGCACAAAAAAGTGAGGGGTAACCCTCACGCAAGTCCCTTAGGTGGCTTGAAGCAGAAAACGGCCACGCGTCCGAAGATTCGATCAAGATTAAAACATAAGGGAAAATAAAACCCCAAACGATAGAATCTTGATCACTGCTTCAATCGGAAAGGGAACACGCAGTCCAAGACAAAAGGGGGCGACCGACAAACATGCGCGCACGCCCCTTTTTCTTTATAAGGCGTTGCTTGGAAGTTGAGGCTCAGAGGTGCAGGGGGAAAGACATCGCGCGTCCTTTCCCCGTATCTGCACCCCTCTCATATGCCCCCACTTCAGGGTTCCAAGCAAACGGCCTAATCTATCACCCCCTCTTCAGAGCGTTTGCGAAGCACTCCTATGCTCCGGCCGCCATGGAGCGTTGGGCGGATGCAGTGATAGCCTGCATTTAAAACGAAAGCGAGCTTGCGGCTTGCTGTCGAATGCGGATGTGTTGCCGCGGCTGAGCTGATCGGCCCACACGTTGCGCTCGCCTGGGATATGCGAGGCTAACACTGGCCATTTGTGCTACTAATTGCACAAAGATCTGCAAGGGCCATGCCGCGGTGAACAGTTTGTTCACCCCGGCTTCTGATGCGGTGTTATCCGTGCCGGAAGGCATGCATAAGCCGTGCACGGGTTGTCCCTCGACTGTCCAAGCGGTGCGCATCAGCGCCAGCTGGGCCAGGGTTTCGAAGCATGCTATTTAGCGCTGAGCCTCCTTTGTGAGGCACGGCCACTGCTGGACTTCTTGGAAGTCCCACGTCTCTGCAAACCAGGAGACGGAGCGGCTGGATATAAACCAACCACCTATGCCGACTGTGGTGCCCTCGGCACAAGCATCGGCGGCTGCTTTGCATGCCAAGACGGGCTTGCTGCGCAGCGGGCATGCCAAATCGGCTTGAAAACATTGAAGGAGCCACTCAATGTTAGCTTTGCTTGCCGCGGATAAGCGCGTGTGCTCGGCAGCGGGGTCGGCTACGCGCACCCATGCTGGCTTATGGCTGGGCACGATGTGCGGCAGGTCGGTGGAGCTGCGTATTGATGTTTGCTGATACTCTAAGACCCTGGAGCCAAGCGGCATAAAAATGCCGTGCACGGGCGAAGCTAGTACAGCCTTGGGGTTTAGCGCCGACAGAAATGCAGGCCACAATCATGCGTGCACGGATATCATGCATCCTGGCGGCGAGCGCAGATCTGCATATAACGGCGCAAGCCAAGACCTCAATTCCAGGCTCAGGCTGGTGGCCCAGATGAGCAGCCCAAGGACCTGTTCCGAACGGAGCAGCGCGAACAGCTGCTCTTTCAGCTTCAGGGTTGTCTTTGCAGTGTGAAGAGTACATTGCATGTGGCTTGATCTTTGCAGAAAAGCTTTTGTGCAGCCAATTAGCATGGCGCCCAAAAAAAATGGTGGAAAACTGGCCATGAAGATGGCTGCCAAGAGCAAGGCCGCTCCCAAGCACAAGGAGACCCAGAAGTCTAGAATCAAACAGGAAAATACATCTCCAAGGAGAATGCAGAAGGCTAAGTCCAGGATTGTGAGGCGCCATCTTCAAGCAAGGAAACCTTGGGCGCTCACCAGCTTGCGCTACCAGCCCAAGTCCAAGAAACTTCAATCGTTTCCAGGCTGAAGTTGATTGACCATCCGCACCAAGTCAGGCAGTTTTGGAATTGCACTTTTTTCCAAGAAATGGGCGCACTAATCGCTGCAAAGAATATGACAACGAGTGCCAGTTGCTGATGCGCATCTGGGCGGCGCAGTGCGGCCAAGAGGTCATCCACAAACAACCAAGCTCTATGCGGGTGTGCTGACAGGATGCCGTGCAGCAGCCTCAGCAAGAAGGCTCCTGCGCGTTGCCACCAGTACGCGGAGTGCTCCGAAGTGGCACACCCGGTAGTGATACAAAGTGTCTGCAAAGCGAAACAGGAGCAAGCCATGCTCGCTAGGATGCGCTTGCGCGCGGCTTGAAAATCAAAACTTGCGCCTATGAAAGAAGCATGCGTGTCTTCTGGCATGAAGGCGAGGCGCACGTCGGATGCCATGGGCAGGCTGACTCGTTCTGGGATATTGCATTTGGGGTTCACCCCGCACACTGTGCTGCCTAGGACCAGACGTGGTTCCTTGCCTTCGGCATGCACCACATTGAGTTTGCCCACTGCAATTCCTTTATTCCAGTGCTGTCTAGTTTGTTCTATGGACATCTCCGTGCGGACGACCCACCCATTGGAGATCTCTTTGTCCAAGAGCGCAGAGACTGTGTGGGGCTCTGCTTCGGCGGCTTTCCAGTTGCCCATGCATTCTGTGAGTTCATAAAACAATTTGTCCTCCTCTTTGGGCGGCCATTGCCTGCTACCATTCAATCCCCCAGCCCAGTCACCCGCTGGGAACGGTAGCGCACGCTTGGCTGCGGTGGGCAACAACACAAAATTTGATTCCCAAAATTCTCACACCTGCGCCGCCCTTGTCGGCCCAGGAGTCCGAAGAGGCTAAACCTGCCCGCCCCAACCAGCCTGGCTCCCGACAGCGGCCAGCCGTACCGGCTGTCACTGCTGCACGCACTGGCCTCCGCATCGGATGACCCGGACATCAAACTCCTTCCATTGCTCTCCGAAGGTGTGCCCACAGGAGCCCTATCCGAATTGCCAATGCAAGCCGGCTCCATCACAGATTTTGAGTCTGTGGGGATGCAGGCTACGTGTGCAGGGTTTTTGAAGCTCGCGTACCAGCGGGTCGCGTCGAACTTTGAATGCACAATGCGTGACGAGGCTTGCGGCCAGAGTCGCGGGATATTCTGCGGTCAATGTGCTGAGGAATTGACCGGAGGAGCTGCGCACGCCCACAATGCTAGCGTGCTTTTGTGGGTGATTGCAACGCGCTGCTACAGGATGCATGGGTTGTTTGAAGCGAAGCACCAAGACTTAGCAAAAGACATGCCGTGTTGGCATGCATCCACCCATGCCAAGTGTCCGTGGAACGCTTTGAGGCGCTGAAAGTTTTCCGGCTCGAGCCACGCCATGCTTGAGGGCGGTTGCTCAAAGACTGCCACGCCTCCTTGTGTGGCAACTGCTTTGAAAAGTTCCCTGTGGATTTCCCTGCTTTGTGCAACGCGCGATGCTTCTTCGGGAGACAAGCCCGGCACGCCGTGCATACAGGTTGGAGCGCGCAAGGCTTTTGGTCCTCCGGGGCGGAGCTTCAGTCGGCTGTACTCCTTGCACGGCGGAGCTAGTGTGATCAAGCTGACGATGCCTGACCACGAGACGCGCATAAGCAGTTCAAAGCACGCATCGTCAGTGCTCCGAGGCCTCTAGGTCACAAGCCTCGAAACGCGAGAGGCCCTGCTTGTCGGCAGCTGCTGAAATGGGTGCATGGGTTCCTGCGAAAACATCCAGGAGGAGTCCTCCTTTGGGGCAGTATGCGCTCCTCAGCTGTGCGCGCAATGTTGAATTGGCATCGGAGTTGCCTGTCCTGTTCCTGGCTGCAGGACGGTGTGTTTGCGCAGACACTGCGGGCTGGGGCGCCTCGTTCGCGGGCGATAAAGCATGCGATGAAGGCGGGCCCGCGGTGCTTCTTG